GGAGTGTTACGCCCTTGGAGATCATCAGCATAATGGTTGGTTCCAGAATGGAAGTTCGAGCTGGAGGGGGAAGAACTGAATAGCATGCAGTGCCTGGAAATGTTAGATTTCAAATTATGCAGAAAGAAAAAGCATCTGGAGCTCATTAGAAGCTGTTAGTCAGCTTCTAACGTTCCTTAACTGTCAGTTTTAGTCTTTGGCTATTTCATTTTACTTGGCTGTAACACGGTGATAGATACTTGTATGTGTGTGTTAAAACTCACAATGCTTGTGATACCATCCTTAGCACATGCCAAATTGGATAGATGTGGACAAAGGACAGAAGGCTCATTCAGTGGTACGGCAGGGAGGATATCAGCTGCACTTTATATTCATTTATCTGCGACCCTTCAACGGTGCAGTTGGTAGAATTTCCCTCTGAAGCATGTGAATTTATTAAAATTTGTCTATATGACTGAGGTTACTGAGCTAAAGTTTTTATCAGCTAGTTGCAGTAATTTCAAAATAGTATTTGGAAAAAAAGAAGTAGCTGAGTGGTTTATTTATGTATTATTTGCAGGACATGCAATATTGAGGCCTCTCTCTTGCTGATAATTGGTCCGGGATATTATTGGCATAAAGAAGCTTATAATGTTGACATGCTTGTCTGATTCCAGGGTTGGAGATTGCATTCTACTTACCTCAGCAAATAAACAGAATGTACTGGATGTGTTTCTTCACGACCCGAAGTGTGCTTGACCACAGCATTTCCACACTGGAAATGTTCTCCCCTTGGTTTAGGCACTGTGAACGCACATGGTGCAGAGTTCTGTAAATGAGGAAGATACCTTTCTCCTTTCATAGCCCCTTAAAGGAGCCCTAGTTGAATATGACATTTATTTATAAGTTTTGTGTTATATCTCAATTCTTTGAGCACAGGTTAAGAATACCCAGAAGGTGGACTGCTACAGTCAAAGAAGAAGGACATTGTACCTTTATTCTAAAGTGATCTAACCTAACACTTAGGTTGGAGTTTGAGAGAGACTTGACTGTTTCACAGGGAAGACTGATATTCCTTTTGAAGTCTTCTATTCTTTTTTTTAATAGTAGGACTTGGCCCTAAGTTGTGGCTTAACAGGAAGGGAATTTTCCTTACAATGTTTTTGGTAATTGCAAAGACTCCTTAAGAAAAGTGGTTTTAGGAGAGCCTTTGCACTGTTTTCCAGACTTTAAGAAGTCTGGGGGATGGAAGAAAAAAAGAAAATGGAAGCAGCTTTGTGAAGTCTAAGAACCTATTAAGTTTATTGGAATTTTAGTATTAATTTCAGTGGGGGCAAAATCTTATCCTTTGAGATTATCTCATCTGCAATGAATCTCCAAATGGATTGAGGTCCACCTGTCTCTAGCAAATGGAGAGCACTGGCTATCACAAGAGTGAGATCATAGTCTGATGTTAATGGAAGAGGGATTAATAAATCACTCATGTATAGTATAGCCAAAGGTGGATCATCATTAGTACACATTGTGCTTAGATTCTGCCATGTCTGGTGCCCTACAAATGCCTTATAAATTAAGATATAGATAGATATCTAGGTACTTCTCTTGACTTCAGATAATTACACCCCCCTCTGGAAGTTTAGTTATTTAAACTTACAAAGCAATTCTCTTGTTTCTTTTACAAACTAACCTTTGAATATTTATTTATTTATTTACTTTTAAATGCACTTACTGAGGTTGGATAGCTGACGTTGATCTACACTGAGCTTTTGCTGTGCTGTCTAGAGAGGTGTTGGCTGAAGAAATGCTAATTGATTATCAAGGAGAAGGCAGAAATAGGCTTGAGCTGCCTGTAATACAGTTCATGTTCTGAGCTCCTGAGTCAACAAAGTAGAATGCAGAATTCCACATCTCTGGAGACTTGGAGGGAGCATCCTGCCAGGTCCTCTGAGACTTGGAAGGATGGCTTTTACAGGGGAGTGACTACATTTAGCCTTGCTTATTTTCATGATGTGATGAACTTGTCAACCTCTTTGAGTTATGTAGTGGCTTCCAAAGTCAGCACAGAGGATTATTTTGACCCTTGTAGAGTCCTTATTAGCTCTTTAGGGCTTGTGACAAGCAGAGCAAGTGTTTCACTAGAGGGTCATGGCACCCATAAGTCAACATATGTATATTTGCATAACATACACACAGACTGGCACAGTTTAGTCCTGTGTATAACATTTTGTAATGTTCTCCCCTGATTTCTAACTCAACCAAAAATCTAAAATAAACATGGGCAGTTTTAGTGAGTCTACCCCCATGGAAAGGGAAGAACTTAACTTGATCTTTCTGCAACAAACACCCTAATCCAACCACATTCCAAATAATCCCAGGAATCCTGATCCTGTTCCATCCCTTTGAGATACTCTCTATGAGTTCCAAATGTCTCTTGGAGGCCTTATAAAGGCCACTGGGACAAAGCTCTGTGAAATCTACATACAGTGTGAGAGGGCTGAATTTTAAAGGATAAGTGCTCGATAACTGTTTTGTGTTTTGGAATTCCCCCATTCTTGGGCCACGTGTTGCTCAAACTAGGGGTGCAAAACCACCATAACTCTACCCTAGTCAATGGAATTTCTTCTGATTTACATTGTGTAAATTAGACTATTATATAATCTATTAATGTTTTTGGACAAAGAGTGAAGATCTTATTTTTCTGTATTGGACCTCTACACCTTTCTGTGTTGCCTGTTTTCCATAAAACTATAACCTGTCATTGTTAGTTTCATCTGCTTAGGAGAACTAAACAAAGCTTAGGAATTATAAACCATGTGCTAGAATTTGTCCTGGGTTTCATGTTTGTTCATGCAAAATCCTTCTCTCAGATACACACTTTTCTCTGAAGAGAGTGCCTAAGCAAGGAATAAAATAATGTGTTGAGAAAACCATAGTGTTTTTTCTTTATGTACACTATTAACTGGTCCAGGATTGAATAGGCAGTAAAATAATGATTCATAAGCATGAGAGGTGGTTTACAAGAATTTACTACTGCAAATCCAATAAAAGTGTAATGATCATAGACTTTTCCAATGTTTTATTTAGATCTTTGAAGGTACTTTAAGCCTTCCTTTGTGGATTTCTAATGTGTCCAATACAGAGCACAAGAGTGTGAAATAGCAGTTAGTTGTTCCTGTAGCAGTTTTAAAATCTATGACTGAACTTATTTCCTTACAATTCATGAATTTAATAGTCCTGACTCTGAGGTGGCACCTTAGAATTTGTTTAAACTATTACACTCAAAGGAAAAAGCCTCTCTTGCCACCAGTATCATGTCATGTCAGTAATCCTGTTTACTTTGGAAGATTAAAAGTGTCTTTAATCCATGTACTGGTTTGGGCTGGAGTAGAGGTAATTTTCTTCATAATAGAAGAAAATTGCATTTGAATTTGTGCTGGAAACAGTGTTGCTAATTCAGGGATGTTTTAGTTATTGCTGAGCAGCACTTACACAGAGTTAAGGCCTGTTCTATTCCTCGTACTGTCCCACCAGTGAGGAGGTTTGGGACACACAAGAAGCTGGGAGGGAACACAGCCAGGACAGCTGATCCCAAATGGCCAAAGGGATATTCCATACCATGCTACGTCATACTCAGCATATAAAGCTGAGGGAAGAAGAAGGAGGCAGAGACATTCCAAGTGATTTGGAGTGATGGCGTTTGTCTTAAGTCATTGTTATACGTGATGGCGCCCTGCTTCCCTGGAGATGGCTCAATGCCTGCTCACGGGAAGTACTGAATTAATTCCTCATTTTGCTTTGCTTGCATGCACAGCTTTTGCTTTATCTGTTAAACTGCCTTAACCCATAAGTTTTCTCACTTTTATGGTTTCCCCTGTTCCTATGTGGGGAGAGTAAGTGGCTGTGTGAGACTTATTTGCCACCTGGGGTTAAACCACAATAATCGAAAAGCTGTCACTTGTCTTGGTTTGGTCTCTGGGAACTGACAAGAGCAAATCCACGGCCTTCAGATACTGATGCACCTTCTGGTTCAGTGCAGTTGGAATGTGACTTTTGTTTCCTCAGAACCTTTGACTCTTCCTTACTTTCAAGTGAATTCCCTGTTTAGAATCTGCCTTCAGTTGATCTGGGGTTTTTTATTTAGAGTTTTCATAAAAAGTTGCATTTTGAGAACGAAAAGGTGGAAAATATATATTTAGTCTTATTAGTGCAAGAAATATTAAAATGACAATCCAATTTTTAAGAACTACATTAGTTTCAAAGTGCTTTGTGAAACAAGAATGTCTTTGATATGGAGACTGAGGGACTTCTATTTTCAAGCCTGTATTTTCTGAACACTTCAGAAAAGCATGAACTTTTGAAACTAACGCTTCAGAATAGAAACAGACAGCCTTAATGGTACCTGTCATTAGCACTCTAGCTCTACAATTGCATGAGACTGGCAGGACAGACTGATTAGCCCTGTGGCTTAACTCAGAACAGCTGAGGAGGTTGCTGTTCAGAGCTACCTCTGCTGCAGGAGCATCTTCTCTGCCTGTGACTCATCTTCTGAATTCTTGTAACTTACCATGTGGCATCACTACTGCACTTTGCAGCAATATCGTAAGGCAAACAGAATTCATCCTTGGCCCCACAATCCTAATTTCTTCTTTTTTTTTTTTTAATTAAATATCATACTGTAAGTGGCACTTCATTCAGAAGCCAACTGGCGAGTAGCTTAGGTACAGTCAGCATGTCAAAGGTAGAGTGACATGTGTCAAAGGTACCTAAAGCTGATCCCTGCTCGTCAGGCAGAGCCTTCCTTCCAAATGAAAGCAGTAATGGAAATTTGTATTGTGCTAACCTAATCAATGACACTGATTTTGGAATCATTTGGTCAATGATGAAACCTCAACATTGGTGTTGGTATTCTCCCGTTTTTGTAGGATGAGAGCAGGGGGCACAGGGAGCACAGATGTTAATGTGTTGACTTTCTCTTACTGTTCTGAAGCAGGCTGTTTCAGTCAAATGTTTGTTCCATACAGGAAACACTCAGGAGGAGAAAAGACAATGCTCCAGAAGTGGCAGGTAAGCTAAATCTTGGCTGCACATGATTAAGCAAAGAATTTCAGCACCTCTCTGTGTGTCTGCACACAAATATGTGTGTGTGTGTGTGCGTGTGTGCGTGTATGTATGTACCTCAAGGCCTAAGCTGTTCACTCACTGCTGGAGGTGAGGTTGCTGGCAAGAAGAGCACAGTATTTACATCTGGTTATTGCAGAGATTTTGATCCTCCTGCTGTGAAACATACGGTGCTACTCTCTGGCAGATTAAGTGTGATTTTATGCACATTTTGAAACTGAGACCAAAGAGAGCCACCTAGTTGAATGTCTGTTCACAGACCATCTGTACATTTAAATCAATGCACCTCTCATTTTCCCATATGTTTGCTGAGCTGGGAGATGTGTTTACTTTCCTGTAGCCCTGATCTTGGTGACCCAAGACACGTGAAGAAATCCATACCTTCTTGTTTATATGTAAGACTTTGTGCAGCCTTTTCTGTACAGGCAGTTGTCCAGGGTTTTCCAATATCCAGACTGCATGCATTTGGCTCACTTTTAAATTGGGGGAAAAGTGCTCTGTTATGCAAATAGAGCATAAAAGCACTGTGTGATTACAGACAAATGCAAATGGCCTGTCTGAAGAAGAGACACAATGAGATAGGTTCTCTTGAATGGATTGCTGTGTGAGAGATATTGTGCTGATCTGAATGGCAAAGCATGATTGATTACACTATTTATGACTCTTGTCCTGGTGGACCTGGGAACCACAGGGCTCTGAGGGTGATTTTGATGCATGGTTTTCACAGGTAGAGTCTGAAGATTTTAATGGTTGTTTCCTTTCCCTGGCAGAAAAGGGAGATTAGCAACTTTGATTACCTCATGTACCTGAACACATTGGCCGGCCGCAGCTACAATGATTACATGCAGTATCCTGTGTTTCCATGGGTCCTCGCTGACTATCACTCTGAGGTCAGTGCTTGCCGCAGCATTCTGTACTTTCTATGATAGCAACTGCACAAAGGTTTGTTTAAAGATTCCATTGAAGAAGAGGGGTCTAGACCAAGGGATTAAAATTTGAGACAGTTAATTTGAACTGTACTGATTGAACTATATAGATTAGCCTTATCTTCAGGTCAGCATGCTGAGTTTGACATTCCGTCTCACAAAGGTGGATGAACATTTGTTAAATACATACCTAGTTAAGAGCAGGCTGTATCCGCTCAGCAGATAGGCGTGGACATGTTTGTGTGACCCCCAAGAAGGAGGTTCAGACAGAAAAGCCTTGTGAGTAGTTTGGAACCTGCCAGGTCCTTTTTTTGTGAAGTTCTGGAGGTGGACAAACCTGTGACCTTCTTGTATGGGTGAAACTTCCAACACAGTGTGGCGGCTATCCAGCGTCACTGAGACAGTCATGATTTCTAAGACTCAGGGATCTAAAAATCTACATATCTTCTGGTTTTGCTTTTCAGACTCTAAACCTTACGAATCCTCATACATTTCGAGACCTATCAAAGCCCATGGGAGCTCAGACTGTGGAGAGGAAACGCAAGTTCATCCAGCGCTTCAATGAAGTGGAAAAGAGTGAGGGTGAGTGTTTTAGGAGACTAACAGACAGCAGAGGCTTGAGTTCCCCTCAGGACACCCAAAGACTTTGAAGAACTGTGGCTCAGAGAAACATCATGCCAAGGAGAGCCTCTCACACTTCTGTGTACAAACTGGTTGAGAATACAAAGAGAAATGACTCCTGCAAGTACTGCCTTATGTGCCTTGTACTGCTGCATTCTGTCCTCTTCCCTTGGGCAGGAAGAGATGCTACAGCAAAAAGCCATGTTCCCTGGAAAAGACTGCATTGTTAGCTAAGCTGCACACATTAGTCTTGTTTGTTATCTAAGATGCACATTAGAAGACTGCTGCATGCAGCTTAACTAAGAGCTACTTTAAGAAAAGGAAACAGAATGGTGAGGCTATTGACCTCTGGAGATCAAGAACTTTTGTGGTACTATTGGGGAAAGGAATGATGTTGAACGTTAAAGGCCTTGTTTTCCAGAAAATTAAATGTGGGAGGCAAAAAATGAACGTACCTCAGTAGTTACTGTGCACATTCATTGCAAATGCAAGGTGTGCTTTTGCTGATAGACCTTTGAACACACCTGCTTAAAAGACCTCTTCCCTATTTAGTCGTGCTGTGATAATTGGATGCTATGGGCTTGAAATTGTGGTATTTTGCACTGGAATCTCATTTTTGTGAAATTTCCAGGAGACCTATCAGTCCAGTGCCATTACTGTACTCACTATTCATCAGCAATTATAGTGGCATCTTACCTGGTCCGAATGGAGCCATTTACCCAGACCTTCTGTTCTCTGCAGGTAAGGGGGCAAGATAACTTCCCTCCCACAGCTTGTTATGAACCATATAACACATTACAGGGAAGTGGGATTAATTCTTTTGCCATTTTCTGCACTCTCTATGTGGACTCTGAGCTTACTGAAGGCTCTATGCCATGTGTCTGGAATTCAGTGAAAACACCTTAATGGGAGCATGACTTTTGTGAGAGAGAAGGATTATTTAGTCTTGTGAGAGCTGAGGCATGTAAACACCTAGACAATGTTTTATTACCTGTCTGAACATAAGCTTCTGATTTTAGAGCGGATCAGACTCTGATGGTAGGTAGTCTAAGCCCAAGTGCCCATAAAGTAATGTGGCTACAGGCAAGTACTTGGAGCACTGTGGTGGCATAAAATGCATTTCTGGGCCAGATGAGGACACACAGGTTTTGGTAAGTGAGAAATTATAGGGATCAAGGGATCAACTTACTGAGGAAGAACTGGGGCTAGACTACATCCAGCGCACCAGAAGGAATATTTTGTTTAATCTTGTTCTGAACTTGGCACTGTTTTGCAGTGCCAAGCTGATTCTCACCATGGAATTGAATTGCATGGAAATTGAATATTGTGCTTACCTTTCCCATCTGCTCAGCATACAGGGGTACTAAATTTCCTGATTGCCCCTTTCAGCAGGCAGTTGGTGATACACAAGCAAATTCACCTGGGCCGTAGCAGAGAGTTGTTACCCTCATTTCCGTAGTATGTCTTGTGTTATGGTAGGGTCTACCAGGAGGACAGATCCTCAAAAGTTTATTTTTTAAGGAGTGCCTTACTGAAATCTACCTATCCTTGTGGAGCAATATGAGGGAGATAGCTAAGCCATAACAATTCACACTCAAAGACTGCTGTATCAATAGTGAGGGATGGCTGTGTCTCCTGCAGCTTTCCAAGTGCTTTGCTATTATGCCGGTCTTTTTTTTTTCCTTGTCTTTTTTTATCTTGTCTTTTTTTTTTAATGAACTAATACAAATAAAGTGCTGTGCTAATTAAGTAATAAGCCCTATGATATCGGCTGTTACCAGCAGTAGCTGATGGGTTAGTGAACCACCTGAGGCAATGGTTACCATCACACTCTGTGAGCCATATGTTAGCTGCAGTCATGAATGACTGTGGAGCAGTTATTTCTTGTTGTAAACAACAAAGGCTGCTGTATCTCACTGGCACACTTTTCATGCATAACGAGTTTGCAGTCTGAGGAAATGCTTTGTGGCTGTGTTTATGTGTGATTAGCAGGTAACCAACAATTTTGTGAGGATAGTTATCTTCAAAGGCTGCTGAGATCTGAAGTATTCAAAATTTTGTCTGGATGTGGATCCACTGAAACTGTTAAACTTTTTCAATTCTTATTCTTTTGCTTTTATGTTGCCACGTGTTCAGCTGAACTCATTGCTGTTGTTTCCCCCAGGTGACTGGTCCTGTAGTGGCTTAGGAATTTCTAACTGTGGGATGCAGTAAAGCAAACAGCAGACCCAAGAACTGTATGAGCAAGTCAGTTGCAAGAAGAGTACACCCAAACTTAAGACCTCGGAAGGGTGCTGTATTTGGGAGCTGTGAAAACTTCTCAGCATCTTAGAAATCTGTGTTTATAACTGCAAACGGACAGTCTGAATACATGACAAGGAAATGCAATAATTTGGGTGCATCCCTTGTGAAAAATCGGTGTTGGCATAGCATCTTGTTTCTCAAGTCAAACAGTTGATTTGCACCTGACCACAGAAGAAGGCAGTGAGGAAGCATTGTCTTTAGTAAGGGGATTGTAAAGGAGAAACTTTATTACTTCACTTTTTAAGTGTATTGAGATCTGACTCTGGAGAAAAAATTGTAGGTGTTTTGCATATTGTATTGGAATGGATGAAAACCTGGCTCATCAAACAGGTATTGGATGGTACCTTCCACTTCACCTTGGTGAAGTACCTCCTGGAATTCCTTTCAGGAATTGGTCTTAGCACCACAGAAGAGCAGTAAAGGTTTCTGTGTTTAGTGTCTTTGTTAGAAAAGCATTCCAGGACCCCATGCCCTCAATAGTGAGACTTGCTTTTGATCAGCTCAGCTTTTTATCCCCTTTTATTCTTATCCCATTGTTGCATTTCAGGTATCAGATTGAGCTTTCCTGAGGTTTACCTCCCAAAAGTACTTACAGAAAATAGGGTTCTTACTCTTCATTGTGTCACTGACTCTTGAACAGTCATTTAAGCACTATCTGCAGGTAATAACTTCTCAGCATCTCTGGGCATGTGGAAAAGTCTTTGCATCTTCATAAGCACTTCTTGGAAACAGTTTGAGGTCTTAGGGTTTAAAGCACCATCAAGGTGATGCTTAGTTTTATGAATGTGTGAAGTTCTACCATCTCTCTAGGGATAACTGTGCCTAGTTGCTTTGTATATACCATGCTGGACTCTAGTTTTAAAAAGCATATTTTTCCAGTATTTCTGATGGCAGTAAGGCCTCTACTGAAAGGAAATAAAACAGAGACATACTGTGTCTAGCTGTAGAAAAGTCATAAGAGTTTGTTGTCTTGCAATCTAAAAGCATAAAGCAATTCTTGATTCTCTTTTTCTCTTTCAGTGCAGTTTTTGCATTCATAGAGAGAGAAAACTCATTAATTCTGATATAAATATATGCAAATAAATTTATTAATATAGGAAATGGGAAAATCAGTTATTGCTTCCTTTATAAATAATACAGGCTTAAGTTTTAAAGATATTACTTTTCCCTAAAATGAATTAGACAGCCAGGGAAAAAATCACATTTTTTCGTGGTGGTAATATCTTTAACCAGATTTGTCGCGCTAACAACATTTCCTATGTATATATTATTTTTATTTAATACAGGTAATCTTTTTATTACAAATCATATTGTTTCTCAGGAGATTACGACCAGCTCTCATAAAAGCTGCAAAAAAAGATGAAAAAGCATCAATCACCACCAGACACAGCACACTGTGTGCAGATTAAATATACAAAGCCCTTTAATATGCTTCAATGAGATACTTGTTAGCTGTTGATTTATTTATAGTCCTCTTTCTACTCTGTTTTAATTTCAATTTGAATTTGACTCCAAGGGTCCCTGCCTAATAATGATCAAGAACAAGATGACCTTGTGCATCAGATTAACTCCAGATAGGCTTGCTCATGTGATTAGTCACTTCTTCAGTTCGTCCCTTGCGTGGATGTGGGAAGGCTTCACAATTGTCAGGGGTATAAGGAAGAAGGACAAGAAGCTAAAACAGAGCTATGCTGTCATTTATACATGAGGCTGGACCAGAAGGCTGGTCAGAATTCACCTCAGGGAAATAGGGATAGGGTCTTTCCATCTGGACTATGTGCTGGGTTTTGGTGTGAGTCTATCTCAAAAGACAAGCAAGGAATGTGGCTTCACTGATTGGGATTTATTGACTTCTGTCTTTCGATAGCTTACTATGAGGGTATTGTCTCCCTAACAAAAGGTATGGCAAAAGTTACTTCTTGATTTGCAGTTCCCAGACTAAGCAGAGTTTGTAGATCCAAAGGAGTTGCAACCTAAGTGTGCGAGTACTCAGGGGAACCAGAAGGGCAGTGGTTCTCACCATCAGAACTGCTGCTCAAGGTTCATCTGGTCCATGGGAGTGGGATGCCATCCTCACAGCATGAGGGTGCTTAATTGTTGTTTTCCTATTTAATGGATTATAAGTCAAAACTTCAGCTGATTGTTATTGTGCAGAAGTACAACATCCTTCTCAACTGGCACATGCAACAGTCTACAGGTAAAGAGAAAACTAAACAAAAGTTTTCCCAAGAGGTCAGCCATAGACAGAACCTGTCTGCATCTCATATTAACAGATTGACTCTTGCACCATGTCTATGTTTTAGTGTCTTCATTATGCAATCCTACTGGCTTATTCTTTTTGCCTAGTGAAGCAGCTTTGAGGATTGAATGGCTGAGGATAAGCAATTATTCAAAAATTTTCACTGTACTGCAGAACTGTTTAAAGATACTTGTTCTATCTCTGACAATCGCTCTTGAGCATGTAGCGTTATGTCCTATGACATATAATCCAAATTAGTTGACCCCAGTGAGAAGTATCTGTATTGTCCTGGGAGCGCTGCTGCCAGCACCTGAGCTAGATATTGAGAAGCAGTTTTGTTGTATTACTTTAATACAGTTAAAAGTCAGCTTTTCTTGTAGAACAGTTTGGTGTTTCTGACAAACTCAGATGATTCCAAAAACTGATTTCTATTTTTTTCCATTACTGTAGAAATTTTATGTTCAAATATGTGAAAGTGAACCTGGATTTTCACAAATGTATACAGTATCTGAAATCCTATTAGGAAATCCTGTAGGAAATATGGTTCCATTGTAAGGCATGTTCCCTTCCTTCAGTAAGTGAAGGATTATTTTTTAATCCTTTCCTCTTGAGGCCTTAGTTCAGAATGATGTCCTGGGCTACCAAGGCTGCTTTTATCTGATGTTTGACTCTCAATAATCTAAACATGTTCAAATGCTCTCAAGAGGTGAGGTAGTTTGTTTCTCCATCCTTATGTACCAATTCAGTGTGGTTCCCAGGCATTCTTCTTTTCTTCCCCTCTTTATGCTGTCTGTCCTTCTCATAATGTATGACCCATCCCTGCAGGCTCCTGCCCACTGGGCCTTGCCTGTTTGGCTGGATCTAATGAATGTTACTTCAGTGGTAACCTTCCCCCTTCTCCAAGGTTTTTCAGAGGAGAATTGCACATAAGATTTTTCGTAACTGTTTGGGTCACAACTGAAGTGAAAACACTGAAGTTGTGTCCACTGCTTGCAAATCACTTTGGGATGGAAGGAAGTAACTGCTTTCAGAAGCATTAATAATGGGTATGCTGATATTCTCAAGCTGCCTATGATTGTTTCTTCTTGCCTCTGTGTTGTTGCAGGCTGTGCTAAGACTCCAAGCTTATGGTCTTCTCAACATACATACCTACAAATCAGGACTAATATAAGTCCTGATAATAGGACTATATATAATCCCTAATATAAGATCATAGTATACATGTCTGGGACAGATCTTGAGACATTCCCTTATCAAACATGTGATAAAGTGATCATTGCAGAATTAGCTAAGATGCTTTTTATTTAACAGAATATTCACATGGAAGTTTTTTTGTCTGTCTACATTTCACAGGGTGGAAGTTTTGATGTTGCAGACAGGATGTTTCACAGTGTCAAGAGCACGTGGGAATCAGCATCAAGGGACAACATGAGTGATGTCAGGGAACTCATCCCTGAATTCTTTTACTTGCCAGAGTTCCTAACCAATGCAAATCACTTTGAACTTGGTAAGTTCTAAAAAAGACTTAAGTGTTCCTCCCAGCATCCTGCCAAAAGAAAAGATGCAAATCATGTGTTGAGAGTTGGTCTCTGGACTATGCAGACTTTTGAGACTTTCTAGTGATGAGAGATCAATTTTTCTTAAAATAAGGCTACAAGAACACAAGCTGCTGGTATCTGAATGATGTTAGAAGAGTCAAGTTTCCAGCTCAGAAAGGAGCTAGTACTTCCTATTAGTTACTGTGCAAGGGAATTACACATTTTGTCAGACAAAAGTGGATTTTGATATAACCAATCAAGTTGTCTGCTTTTGAAAATTTGGTCTTATCATCACATCTCTGTGGCTATGAAAAATATATTAATTTGACTTTTAGAGGTGGGTCAATTATTAAAGGATGTTGGTGAAAGGTGGGGTTTTTTTAATCTGATGTGAGACCACAAGGTGATTAAAGTTTCCAAATCTTGAAAGGTTCTGCACAAATCACATGAACTTGATATATTTTCCTTGTTCTCAAGCAGCATCACAATCCCCTCTGAATGTACATTTTCTCTAGACCTTTCTGCATCAGTGATGAAGGGCCAGAAAGAATCCAGAAAAAACAGTATTCAGAAATAGGCATGGCAGTTCTGATTCACTTCACTTTACAGGACATTCACACCATTTGCAATGCAAAGCTGCTTTTTTTAGTAGGCACAGGTTGGTTAACAATTTAGGCAGAGGAAAAATACTTTAAGAATCATCCTAAATTGGTAACAGCAAAGGCAACGTAACCCATGGTATTGAGATCTAGCCGTAATTGTATTTAAGATATCAGTGAAATGAGATACACTTTAAAAAAAGAGCAGAATAGGAAAAAAAAAAGTTAGAAAACTGTTAAAAGATAAGAAAGAATTGGGGTAGTTTCATCCTGAGAGGAGGCCAAGAAACAAAGCCATCAAGACCCAGAGACTGACCTGAGTGGAATTTAATGAAGGGTCATGAAGGACACCAGAATCTTGCCAGTAGAGGGAAAATATACAGAAGATTTTACAATAGGCAAAGCTAAGAGCCAGAATCTGTTCACTGCTACACTGAAGGAAACTTGCAGTCCCAGACCTGAACCTCAATTTAGATTTGAATTCATCTACTTGTGCAACACCATGCTCTGATTTAAGAACATATGCTTACTTTCTGAAAGGAATCAGGTTGCAAAGGACTTGAGAACAAAATCCCTCTTAGTGGCTGATTTAGTAGGAATATTTGATAGTTAGACTCACAGGATTACGTATAAAAAGAAAGTTGTGCAAACAGGTTTGTCTTGTCTGCGTTTGCATTCTGTGCTAAAATGGTTTGTGCTGATGACATGCATATTTTTACTGTATTAGTGACAATTATTAGAACATCTCCTCAGTGCTTTATTACTGGATGAGACTTCCCAGAACACTGGGTCGTCAGTATTCTGTGGCACTAAATTTGATGAACTTGAAACTGCATGTGGGAAAATCACCTCAATTTCCTTTGACTTCAGTGTATTAGAAAAGCTGTTCCTATTTGCAATGTGTCTTATTCTTGTTTTTGATTCTCCCGCAGGCTGCATGCAGGATGGAACAGTGCTTGGAGATGTGCAGCTTCCTCCTTGGGCAGGTGGGGACCCCCATAAATTTATTCTACTGCACAGACAGGTGAGTGAATATAAAGATTTTTGACAAAACATTGGGTTCCACTGAAAATGAAACTCTGAAGCCCAGAGTCACAAACGAAAATGTTGGATCCAAATGCATCCTGGTTTTGTGGAGTTTGTGTCAGTTCTGCACTTTGCTTGTCTACTTGTCTCCCTAACACTTCACCTTGAATCAAGGCCAACTTTCCAGACCAGATGAGGATTATATCTAGGTTTGTGGTATGAACATATCTCAGCCCATAAGTGTAAGAGAACATAATATAATGTGCAGGCATTTATGTGCATATAGTTCCATGTTGTTGCTAACAAACTGTGTGTTTATTTAAACTATTTATCTCTATCTCTGAGTCATGTCAGAACTAAAATTATAATTTTTGGGGGGTGGAGGGGAAGGGGAAAAGGGGTAGAAACTTAATGCAATTTTCTGCCTTTAATGGAGTCAGCCTTGGCTATTTGAAAGCAAATAGCTTTAAGGTCCTGAGACTTACTGCAATTAGTTCTATCTGTTAATAGTTAGAAAGTCTTAACTTCTGTGTGATGTCATCTGCTACAAAGAAGTGAATGCAAATGCAAATCTGCATGAAGATTTTTGTATTGAACTCAGACTGCAGCTTAATATCTTGGTGCTGGTCTCTATAGTGTCCCTGCGTTATCCCATCAGATTTCCTCTGGCAATCTACATGTGTGAGTGCATACAGATTGTTGGTGTGTACCACAAATATGATGATTATATGTGTTAGCATTGGTGGAACTAAACAAACAACCCATGATTTTAAAGGCATTGCATCATCCTGGTTTGTCATATGTAGCTTCAGTTTTTGCCTCAGTGGATTCCTCTCACCAGTGCTATGCTGTCCCAGGGTCCTGCCCTTGGGATTTTGAATTTCTCAATAATCACTTTGTAGGTGACTGTATCCAAACCAGTAGATACAAATGTCTTCTCTGTTTTGTTGTCTCAAGCCTCAACTCAGTTGACCTCTTGAGTGCTGGTTTAAATCTTGTCTCTGACATCCTTACTGCCTTAACTTTTTGTTCCTCCTTTGAACAAAATCAGGGTCATACTCTTATTTTGTAAATATTCTTTTCTCCACTGTTCCCTTAACCATTAACAGCAACCACAATGCTTTCCTATAATCATAAATTGGTTTGGGTTGGAAGGAACATTAAAAACCATGTAGTTTCAACCCCTCTGCGTGGGCAGGGACACCTTTCACTCTCTGTCTAGTTCCTTTCACTGCTTTATCTCATTCTGTCTCTGTGACCTTCCAAGGTGCTCAATCTCTGTTCTCCAGACCTACCAGACATGCTGCAGACAAAAATCCATGAAAGCCTTAAAGATGCTGCAATTTTACACTAGTATTTTTTAAAACATAGGGAGAAATGCTATTTCTTCTGTTGTGACTTGTTTGAAGAGTAAAGTACCGAGCTGTGCTCCTTACTGCTTGTGTAATGGTGAGCACTGCAAAGGCACTTGGATACGATGGAGAAATCTGCTTTTGCCTTGTACTTTGGAGTAACGGTGCAGTTTGGAAATGAATCTATAGTCATCCCTCCATAGCATGTCACTGTCGAGTGATCTCAGATTGTGTGAACTAGATTTGTTTTGGACGAAACGAAACAAAAGCTGCACTCCAGTTGTGCACTCCAGATGCTGATGGCATTCAGCCTGCGGGAGCAGACTAGGTTTAGTTGGAAGTAAAGCCCCCACAGTGCATGTAATGTGGATACTGGGCCCTCTCTACCATTTGTCTACAGAACTGCTTCCACTGAGCTGCGCTATTTAATAACATTGGCACAGCTGATAAACAGATTAATTCAAATCTCAGATAGGAGCAGCTTAGCAAATGAATGATTTGTGTTAACACATTTGTGTTCTTAATAATTTGCCAGACCTGATCAAACTTCACACATACTCAGGGCAATATCCTCTCTTCGACCATAGCTGGTATTAGGTATTACACAGGAGAATGCAAAAAATCTTGCTGTGGGAAATTGATTAGTCTGCCTGGGAAAGTTTGTCTAACCCTTAAGTGAAGAGTCAGAGATCTTGAATTCTGAAACATGAGGGTTTCTGTCTCCTCTGAAATCAACCACAAGGCTGAAAGTAGTACTTACTGATACCATGCCATTTTTAGGAGGCTTCACAATGAGTTTGGTGCATTAAAGGGATCCAGGTTCACACTGTTCTAAGGTTTGGCTATTGCTTTAAAGAATATGAGAGCAAAGAATTGTTCTTGACATAAAACTCTGAGTAGCTTCCTGTTTCATGTTTAATAAGTTAGGAATCTAGTCTACTAAATAAATATATTTACTTCCTCCCTAGACTACAAGTTCTCCCTCCCTGGTGGGGCTTGTCATAGTGCTCAGTGAAATACTGAGAGGCTGCACAGTTGCAGCTCTGTTGGTTGCTTTGTTTTGCTTTGGCAGTGATGCCAGAAAAAATTTACAGTTTGTAATTCATGGACTAACTGCTTTTATTAATAAGGATGAGTTCCGAGTCTGTTCATAAGTGTTTTCCCGTTGTTTGCAGGGGACAGATTGTACACTGTGCTTGTTCTCTGAGCTGCCCTGTGATCATTATAGCTGTGGGCAGGGTCATTTACACCAGCTGCACTGGGCTAACTGTCTGCTCTGTGAAATGAGCCATTGTTCTGGATCCCATTAGCTTGTTTATTTCTGCTGTGCTTTGGGTGGGATGGTCTGCTTGGGAGACTTTTCACTGAGCATCAGGGAGTATTATACAGTCAAATGATTTGGAGATAGGAAAGTACTTTTAATAATGCTTAACACTGCTGCTTGAGTCATTGGCCAAGACTATTTGGGAATGCACAAAAATTTGGTGAGGCAGGTGATGGCAGGAGCAGTAGCTTTTAGTGAAGCCTCATGGGTAAGACTCTCTAACCTGGTGGTGGGCAAAAGTTCAAGTTGAACTTGTGTCCACTGCTTGTGAACTTGCTGTCTGGGTCTTCCAAGCACAGGTTTTCCTCCATGATTACATTGAGCTTTCTAGGGAGCCCACATTTGGGTGGTCCCATTAATCCACGTGCCAGTCAGTATGGTGGCAAACCTAATCAAAGTCAAACATTTTTTGGGGGGGAAAAACGTTTAGACCCTGAATTTTTCAAGGATGAGGAAGTATGGTGCTGTGATTCTCTGCTTAAGCCCTGGAAGGGTAGCAAAATGTTTGCTGGTCAAACCCAGGCAGTCTTGAAACTTCTGTCATACAGCTGCCTTGATGGGCCCCAACTCTGCTACTGCAGCTATCGCATAACCCCTTCTCTGTCTTGGCTTGCAGCACCCTTTGCCATTTCACTACAAGCTCTACATTCTCTTTGCTGGTTCATGGCATGCAGCCTTTCCTGTTGTATCCTTCGGACTCAAAGCCCCTCTTCTAGTCGTCTCCCTTTCTAATCTATTTTTATATGTATTTTCTCAAATAAAAATCTCTGCTACTCAGTGTGACTCACAGCTGAGGTGTATGTCTACAAATAGAAATTCACCTGTGGTTTCTCTGTAAGGTGGTGGTACAAAAAGCTAACAAATGCTTTGCTTGTTTAAACCATCTCATGGCAGTAACACTGTTGGTGAAGACATGATAGCACAGACTTCAATGTGTGCTGAAAGCTGGAGGATGTGCCAAGGTCTGTGGAATGCTTTCACTTTGCTGTGTGAGCCCTACCTGTGTTGTCTCTGAGGATATTGCTCCTGGTGTCTGTTAAATCAAACATGCTGCACTCTGACCCTTCATTTCCCGTGGGGATCCACTTTGGTCTCTTTTGGTCTTTTGTGAGGATGTGCTGAGAATGGTGGTACCAGAGGAACTGAAAGTGTGAAGATTCTGTTGCAGAGAAGTCTCCAGCAAGGACTGGAAAACAGTAATGCATTTGTAATGGATACAGTCTAGTGAATTAAGTAATTTTCTTTTGGTTTCAGGCACTGGAAAGTGACTATGTCAGTGCACACCTTCATCACTGGATAGATCTTATTTTTGGCCACAAGCAGCATGGCTCAGCTGCTGTGGAGGCAGTTAACACCTATCATCCTTACTTCTATGGAGACAAGATGAACCTCAACAACATTAAAGATCCTCTGATTAAAAGCACTATCCTGGGATTTATCAGCAACTTTGGACAGATACCAAAGCAGGTACCACTTTACCATGAGACTAAAGAGCATAATTTATTTTGATCTTACAGTATTTAACAAGAAAGCAATGATAGTAACTGAAATCAGAAACATATTCTGATTTAAATCTGCTGAAAGATGGGCTATAGACTTTTCCAGGTTGTGTACTACACCAGTATGCAACCTCACTTTCTAACCATGCTGTTCCTGTTGTATGCCATAGAGATGCAGCATCAGCCCTGGGTTCTGCTCCTTCAGTACAGTCACATGAGAGACCACTAGTCTGGGAATGGGTATAGTCAAATAAAACCCAGCTCAAAGTCTCACCTATAGTTTTCTTTCTTGTCCAGAATTGCTGGGATTAGCTTTCTGCCTCTGTGAGGAAGGGATGTAGTTTGATTAAAATGTAATAAGGATAAGATTTTATTTTAATTAAGAGATTTATGTATGGTAGTTCTGGAGTCCGTGATTAAGGATTTAAATTACTGTTTCTCCTGCGTGATCTTGCAAATAGAGATTTTTTTTCAATGCCATTCCTTTGTTCTAGCTCTTCACAAAACCGCATCCATCCAGGAATGCCCAAGGGAAAAGCTCATCAGGAAGAGAGACTATGCTGTTCCATCACTCAGGTGGAATTCTTCCTCCTTTTATGAGCAGCCTGCAAAATCTGAAGCTCTCTCCAGTTACTCTAAAAGGTGCTGTACCTAATAAGTACATAATTCTTGGATAGGATGAATCTGGATTTTCAAGAGCACAAAAGTAGTCACACAGCTTTGTATGAGTTGGTTCAATCAAGATGCCTTCTGCCAATTGTTTTTTGTGTTTGTGTGTATTAGCAATAGACACTGAAAACACTCAAACATCTGTTGTAGAGTTCAGCATAGATTTTTTTTTATAAGACACCAGAATAATTTCTGCCTTCTACAGTCTGAATATTTTAAATTGAAACCTAAAGTTCATTGTCTTCCATTTGCATTCCCTCTTTTTATATTCAACAGCAAAGTAAGTACTGTCTGTCTTTCCCCACCTCTCAACCTTCAAATCTTTTTCTTAGTCTGCTACTTTTCTTACTATGAAGAAGCCTGGAACATTTCAGTGTGTCTATTTTTTCATCTCACAGCAGTGTTTTTTGTATCACACATCTTTGTGGGGACATTAGGCTCCCGTGGTTGTATTACAGAGGCTGTTGGTGACAATGCCTGTCATCCTCTGTAGTGCATGGCATAAGGCAGTCTGCCAGTGAAAAAGAACTTTATAACACTGCTGTTGAAGCAGTGAAACATGTCACTCCCTCTGCATGGATTTATGTGGTCCATTGGAGAGGAGTGTTTCCACTATTCTGTCTGGAATCTCCGTTTTAGAGTGGATTTTTGTCTGTGGGCCTGACCCAGATGTGGGACTTGCCAGCCTCACCACACAAACTGTGCAAGGAGGAAAGTTAGCATAAGTACCTTAAAACCAACAGAATTAAATGTTTTCTCTGTCTTGTCAGACTATCCCAAGGGAGCTATTGGGCATATTGTTCATACAGAGAAAGGCATTCTGGCTGTTGAAAAAAATAAAATTTTGATTCCTCCTCTTTGGAGCAAAACATTTTGCTGGGGATTTGAGGACTTCACCTGCTGCTTTGGCAACTATGGATCTGAGAAGGTAAATAAGAAAAAGTCTAAGAATTCCAAAAATGAATGATATGTTGTGGTCTTTGACTGATTTGGGCACCCATTTCCCAGAGGTGGCTGGGAAGCTGATTTCAGAGGATGTTTACAGGACTTTCTCATAGTTGAGTTTCTTGAGGAATCCCAAGTTGGATATCCCAAGATAATACAAAGTCATTCTACACTGCTCAAAACTGTGGCATTTTCCTCTAGATTATCTCAAGTTTTCCATCCAGTGATTGTGTTGTCCATCAAAATGAAGGAGAAAGCCCATTTCATAGGTTGTAAGGACAACAGAAGGTCTCCTGGTCTCTGATTAGAAATTTCGTTGTGCAGAAATTTCTTCTGGAATTAAGACAACCATCTGTCAATTCCTGTCTGGCTCCCAAGCATAGTCCAGTGCATTCATTCAAAATAGTAATGTCTTTTGTTGTAGAAAGTTAATACTCTTACTTCTTTGCTGGTAAAAATAAATGGTCTGTATCATCACACTGCTTGTTAGCACACTTGACAGATCCAGTTTCTTCCTCTACCACAAACACACTGATTTTTGGATGTGTTTGGGACAATACTATGATATGCAAAGACTTCTGAGTTAGCTTGGGTACCAGAATAGCATAACATGTAATTCAGCAAGATACTGACCTGAGTATTATTTGTGCAAGTGGCAAGGTTATGTTTTTACAGACCTACTCATAGTCAAAGGAAATGAAAAAGCCATGAAATGTATTTTACTTTCTACTCCCTGTATACAATTATTGAGAGTTCTCACCATTGATTTCAATTAAAATCAGTGCTTAGCAATTCAAAGTGTTGCTGCAGGCACAAATGATTTGGTTTGTCTCTTCAAAAGTCAGTGACACTGAGCGTAGTGAGTGTGATTACACAGACACTGAGAGTAGTGGTTGGGAGTCCAGCTTGAGTTTTCTCTGAGTCAACAGTGCCTCTGGACATGAGTCTATAAGAGATATTTGTCCTCGTTGTAAGTAGGTAAAGGTCTGTTCTGTCTGTGGTAGGGTTTTTGTAGCAGTGCCATCCAGCTCCACCAGAATCATTAGCACCATAGTATTGTCCCAGTTGTGTGGAAGAGAGCTAATGCAGAATGTGAGCAGGAGGATGTTTGTGATGTAATTGTAGCAATATGTAATAGACCTGACATTGCTTTAGTCTGGTTTGGGTGCTGCTCATGGAGCTGTTGGCACAGAATGAAATTTAGTGCTTTATCTTTTAGCTTTTCAATCCAAGTAAGAGGAGGGTTGCAGAGCCTGGCACTAACTGTTAGCAGTGGCTGTCACAACCTGAGCTTACTATTAAATTTACATTGAACGTTTGCATTCTGTTACTATGTGGTGGTCGAATGAGCTTTCCCAAAGTTATGTAGGAAGTGTGGCCCAAGAAGAATTGAGACTCAGGTCTTCTAAGACATAAGACAGTGACCTTTGTTCAGCCTTCTTGTTTGGCCCCTGGAAGATTGCACAGCCACATGCAGCCACAGCCTGTGCATGTCCATATGTTCACAGCTGTGCTTACACAGAGACTGGTTAAGATGATCTTTTTTTTCCTAGATTTGATGAAATGGAGACTCAGTTTTGAAAACCGAATCTGCAATTTGCTATTAATAAATGTATGGTATCACTAGATAAGCATTTGACTTAAAGATGCTTTCTTGTACAGAATGTGACTACATTTGAGTGCATGGCAGACTGGGGAAAGTGCCTCTGTGCTGTGTGTCCTTCAGCGACTACCATAATCACATCTGGAACAAGCTCGGTTGTGTGTGTCTGGGAACTTTCCTTGGTCAAAGACAAAGTGAAGTGTTTAAACCTGAGACAGGTACGTGCTGTGGCTCTTCTGCTATGGAAACTTAATGAAATCCAGAAGATTAGGTTTTATGTCTCAGATGACTGGCAGAAGAAACGCCTTTGGGTGAATCAAGAAAGCAGAAAAAACTCAATAATCAGCAGTATCATGTGACAGCCTGTTATCAGGTCAAGAGCTGATAATATGCCTTATACCAACAGCTTATAGTTATGAATGGCACTTGGTAGTTTTTTTCACTTTTGGCAGCATTGCCAAAGTTTATAATGATAAAAGAAACAGTGAAAATAAGGTACATGTTCTCCTCTCTTGAAGTGCAGCCAGCCCTTGGGTTATTTTCAAAAACAAGTATCACCTGAAGGTGCTTAGAATTTGTTTTGGGCTGCTATAGCAATGGACAGAATCTCCCAAACATCCTACGGACTTAGCTGATGGAGATGAAGGCTTAGCCAGGCAAAGTTCTTGATTCTTTTTTTCTCAACCCGAATTCAGAATACAAAAGATTTATCTGTCACTCCATAAAGTAGGGGTGCAACCTATAAGATTGATATGGTTTTTGTGTTCTCATTATCCAAAGCCCTTTAGTCGTTGATTGGAGATCATCTATAGTCATCAACCAGCTGTATATATGCTATTTCATTTTAAAAAAGTGGATTCTTATGCAAAATTCAGCTATGGTGAGTTCTCAGCCTTACAAGTAAAGCTAGAGTACACCACTGTCATATCTGAAAGGCAGCAGATTTCTTTCCCTGAAGAAATCAAGAGACCTAAATAACTCTGGTATTTAGCCAAACTATCAAAGGGTTAATTGATCAGCAAGGTCTCCAAGTGTTAAAAGCTTCTCTATTCATTTGTTCTGGAGGGATATTCAGATGATATTTCTGTGCTTTCCATACCCTAAGCTAAAACATATTTTGTTTGTAATTAAATGATGTGAAAACTTCACTGTCTGATGGGATGCCAGAGAAGTATTTAGTTTTTCATTTATCTCAAATTCTTGTGTGTTGAAACACACAAGAAACTGCGTGGGGAGCAGGGAAACTGTGTTTAGAGCAGTTTCCTGCTGTAGAAGACAGGAATATGAGATAAGATCTTCAGTGATGACCATTTAATGCAGCTAGTTATCACTCCAAATCAGGACCTGGACATAGAAATGGAAGAAATAGCAGTAGAGAAAAGCATAAGCAGTAATTTTCATCAATATCCAAACAATACTAGTCAGAGAGTCAGTTTGAGTTTCAGGCAACTGAAAAGGCTGTTTTTTATCTGCAATATAATGCCTTTCTCTTTAGCAATGTAAAATCAGCTTTGCTGATGTGTTCTTCTATGATTAATTTGGTATTACCCAAAATCCACAAAGTGGTATGAGATCATGCAATGACAAATTCTGTATTTTTTCCTTCACTTTGCTAGCAGAGGCTTTTTTTTTTTTTATGACTGTCTGGCATGGATGTAAACTTGAACTATGGTTCTAAATGTCTTCCAGTGAATTACTTGCTGCTTTCATGTAGCTCACTGTTTCATGGTGGCTGCTTTTTCTGCTGAACAAAAAAATTTCCTGAGAGAGTGAGCTTTGCTTAAGAAAAACTGATGTGCTATAAAGTGGATGCTGTTCACTTATCAGCTGTCTCATGGGACCTACACATTCTGGTTTGGAATGTAGTAAAGTACAGAAACTATATTTCAGCAGAAAAAGTAGCTTTTTCCTTCTCTAGTGGGATCTGCTTCCACAGTTTTGTGGAACACTAAAGATTGAGCATAATAGCCTCAGTATTGATCCATGCAATTTACTAGTTCCCTCAGTATTCACGAGCAGAGTGGATCCAGTCCCCAGAATTTCTGGACCAAGCGAAACACTAGACTGGGATAAGCATCTGGGCAAGATGTGCTGTCTGCCTCACAGACCTCTCAGGAAGTTGTCGAGGATAGCTGTGAAGTTTGCGTTCCTGTCAGCCACTTAATTTGAATGGTCAAACTTGGTTTATGTTTTCATGGACTAAACATTCCTGCAGTGAAGCTAGTCTTCTTTTTTGTGTTTTGATATTTGTTAAAATACTTTGGAGATAGGCCTCACAGTTCCTTCTGCAAATATGTTGCAGGATATTTCCCATAAGGGAAAACCTGTCAGTCTTTGCAGAGAGATGAGAAGATGGTAGAGAGCCAAAAGCATGTGGCTTTTTTTCATGAATATACATTGAGACACTGGTGGATTGAAGTTGATATTATAATTGGGTTCAGGTCTATTCCTCTCTTCCACACTCAGCTTGTATTTCAAGTGCTTCACTGCTGGGTAGGATCTTTATGGGTTAAAAAAAGAGAAAAGGGTTTTATTAAAACTTGTGCAGGAGCTTAGCTTGGCTTGACTTGGCAATTTGGATGCTTTCACAGTGGGTATGTTTTCTTTCATGCTTTGGAAGAAGGAAAGAAAGTTTTGAGCCCTTGAACCTGTCTTGTCACAGCCTCTTTTGCAGCAGTCTTGTGCAGTTCCCAAGTACAGGCACTTGGTTATGCCCAGTCCTTTGTAAAGAGCCTGTTCTACAACCAGTCCAAAGTTACTGCTAAACCTCCTTTTCCATGCTTAGGTGGGACTGTTTCTGACCTCTGAAAACCACTGTTAGAGACCTAATTTTGTGCCAGTATTTTTAGTTGGCAGTTCTTGGGAATGGAATAAATCACAAGCTGAAATTCATCCCTCGCAGTTGCAGGTCATAGTACATAGCCTGCTGCATCTCAGCTTCTTCACATTGGATTAATGTTTGAATACTCTTGTCCTGATGACCTTGGCAAATGGCAGCACGTTAGCCAGCAAAAGTTCAGTCTCACGCTGGAAGAGACGATAAGATATGTCTACAAACATCATGTGGGAAATGTAGCTCCCCTGCATCATGCTGAACTGAGATAGACCCTAATATCACAGAAAGAAAGCCAGTAGGGAATATGCATTTGCTGTTAAAATTAATATTAAAACTGGTGGGTCTGATTTTTTCCAAGTAAGGCAGCTAAAAAGTCAGCCCTTAAAGGCTTTGCAGGAAAGCTGTGAAGGACTTTTTCTCTGTTGCCATGCCAGCTTTACTGTTGTTGATGGTTATGCAGCAGGTGGTTATGCACTGCTGTCACTTGAGAATGCTGCATTAAACGATTGTCAGCAGCATACTTCAATCCATGCCTTCTATCTATGCTATTAAATTGCCTAAAGTGTATAGTATTTTTTTAAGAAACTGTTTAAATAAGGCAAAGTTAAACTGGGCACTCCTTAAGTCTCTGGAACTATAAAACAACAACAACAAAAAGAATGTTGTGTAATGATGAAAGAGAAAGGAATTCCTATATGGCTTTAAAGCCAAAAATCTCCACAAATGCTGTTTCTCTTCTTAACCAATATTAGAAATATTTTAGTATTTGTTCAGATAAACAGAATGATAAGACTGAGAAGGTCACTGTAATACATCCTGATAAGTTTCATTTCAAAAAGTTTTTTAAATATTGAGAAATAGCTTTTTAAATATTGAGAAATTTCCAAGCGTATATTTTAGTTAAAACTACATGGACTGAAGGAAAAATTATTTTTTGTTGCTGAGCATAAAGCACTGTCTTAGAGTCTGAAATGTAGGCCAAGGACCCTGAATCACTGTGCAACTTGTGCAAGTCATAAGATCTCTTGAACCCTCAACTTTGTTCAACAATGAGTTGAGGACAAAGGTGCTTCTCTGTAAGATCCTTTGGTATTTTTCCCTCATACCTACCCTTTTCAGTTCTCCAAAGAATGACTGGGTTGCTTGTTCTTGCTAAGCACATGACAGTAAGACTGTAGTTCCCTAGTAAATCAGCCTTCCTCTGCTGTGGTTTATTAGTTGGTTTTTCCCCACCAGGCTTTGTATGGACACACTCAGGCAGTGACCTGCCTTGCTGCATCTGTAACCTACAGCATCTTTGTGAGTGGATCTGATGACAGAACCTGCATCATTTGGGACCTGAACCAGCTGACGTACATAAACCAACTTCCTGCCCACGAGGCAAGCCTCTGTTCTGTTGCCATCAACAACTCAACAGTAAGATCTTCATTTATCATTTTTCTTCTGATGCATCCATGAACATTTCATGATAATTTAATGGGTGCTTTTCCCAACATAAAAACATCCTGAGAGTCTGATACATTGATTTTTTTTCTTTCTACAGAGATTGCTAATAGTGTTCTTAATGATGAGAGGCGAGCACTAAAAGCAACATCTTAGACTGAGTAGCTAAGTAGAAGCATCTTTGGATGGATAGATAGCAGGATTAAACAACTTTTAGTTTATGGAGAATGAAGTATTACCTTGGTACCTCCTGGACTTGGCTCACCCATAACCTTATTGCCCCTTTTATTTCATTAATTTCTCCTGACATTCATGCAGTAGAGCCACATCAGCTGAGACATGTTAGGCTGCAGTCTGCCACCTCAGCTGACAACACCTTACACCTTTGTGGGGACAGTGTTGGCATTTTTCTTTCTCTTCTACACCCAGGTGCAGAGGAAGCTCTTAATAACAGGGGGTATAAATCTGTTGAGGTCTGTGCCTGGCCAGAATTGCATGTGCATTGATAGGAAAATATTCTGCATTGGATTTTACTGTAAACACCCTGGATGAGATTTTTTTCCCAATCTTCTACCTCCCCAAAATGTTGCTTTAATATTTGTATTTTCTCTCTCTGTTAATACACTAGAGCAGGGTTACAGCTGCTTATACAATTCAAGGTTGGATCCAGTACTGGAGATTGTACAAAGGCAAAATTTAGTTCATAGCAGGAAGAAACCGGGCAGATATTCTCTACTTAGTCTGTGCCAAAACAGTCATCTCGTATCAGAGCTTTATTAACCATGCAGTCTGATGGCTAGCAATTTGAGGATGGGAATTAACTGGTCTGTTCAGTGCCAGCTCAGCTCCCAGCTCCAGGGGTCCTGGTTTGTGTAAAATGGCCAGTGGCTTCAGCAGGCCAGTTTAGAATATCCTGGGAGTCCCTTATGAAGTCAGCTGAAGCAGTGCCAAGCCTTCAGAAAATGAGTGGATGGGCTGGCACAGAGCATGGACTTGAGATCCCAAGTGGATGGAGTCCTCTTCTTTCTATGTACCAGCCAGTACATTGGCCTTGTCAGTTGGTATCTACTCTTCTGGAGCTGTCCAAAAATGAGATGGTCTGTGCCATGAACAGTCTGGTGACCAATCCAAGTGCAGTTCTCCATTTTATTAGAGTGCAAATGGTTAAACTGTTTGGATAATAGTCTACAGAAAGGTTCATTTAAAAGAGGAAAAACCTTAGGAAAGTATGACTGAAGCTTCAAGGAAAAAAAAGATGAAGAGATCTATCTCTTGTGGATGCAAAAATTCTTTTTGATGTTGGCAGAACAGAATACTTCTGAAATGCATTTTTGTTTCATTCTTCTCTATGTATTTATGTACTGTAATGTGAAGATAGAAACAAAATGTTTCCATTTTGCTACATTATTTTGACTGACATGAAATTACATGTTTGGTAACAACAGTTTTTTCCTGAAAAATTCAGAATTATTCAAAGCAAAGTTCTGAAGGGAATAAATTTCTGAACCACATACTTTTCTGTGAAATAAGAACCCTGTATAGCTCTACCTTATGTGATTGTTGTGTTTTGTATTTGCTTGAGCATCTAGAAGCTCCATCTGTAGATCCAAACCTCATGGTGTTTGTGTCACGTAGACACAAAATAAGAAGGCTATCCTTTATAAGCTAAGGAGGATTGTAAAAGTTTGAACTAACTAATGATTTCAGTTAGTTTTAAATCCCTTGTCTAGACCTGAAAAGCACGGTAGATCATTACCAAATGCTTGGACATTATGTACTCTCATGCAGATAAGGTAGCTGAAATTTAATCTCTTGAATTATTAGCAACTCTGTTTCGAACACGCCATCATTTTTTATCTGCAGAATTCTGCCCTGCAGTGTGAAGAGCCCTGGCTGCAAATGAGGCAGGGGTGAAGCAAGGTGTTAGTTGACTCAAACCAGATGCATGCTGCTAATTTAAGAGCACACTATCCTTTACCAGAATCAGATGACTTTGCCGATGGGGTTCTATTTAGCTGATTCTTAGTATGGATCAAGAGTGGAAAGGTTAGGTAGAATTTCAATTAATAATCAAAATGCACTTTTGATAAGATCATTTACACTTGCAGCTTTGGCTCTTGGTTCTATGTGTTTCTTGCCCCTAAGAAATTACCTCTGTATTTGCTCCTTACATGCAGTCTCTTGATAAGACTGCACCTGCATGGAATGGAGAGGAGAGATTCAGTTACAGAGGATGTTTCTGCATCAGAAGTGCAGGTCACTGAATGCAGAGCTGGTCACTGGTCAAACGCAAAACGCAGCGTAAAAATGCGATGACAGTGAGCTCCCTGCGAGGGGCAGAGGAGGATTGTGAAATCACCAAAGGCTTCCCAGCTAAGCAGGTGAACACCATGTCCTTGTTTAAGAGAAAGCTTATTTGCAAAATTTATAAGAGCACTAGTTCTAGCCCAGAACCTGTGCTAGACACTGCCTGTGCCCAGTCCCTGTCTCTGACAAGGTCAGTCTGTCAATCTGCTTTTTTACTAAAAGCCTGAATTTTACAGAAAATAGAAAGGGAATATTTAATTAAATGTTTTCATCTAAAAATGTAAAAAACTTTGTTTCTGCATGATCTTGCTAAATCTGAGACAGTTGTTTCAGGTTTCTGTTATGGAAAAATTTCAGAATTTTTCATGAGGAAAAAAAGCAATTTTTACTTTTTCTGGTTTGTATCATCTGCCCAGAAGAAAAACAGTGGTGAGAATTTAAGTCAGAGCAACTCTACAATTTCTAATCAGCACTTAAGATTTGTGAGGAGGATGAGTGTATGATTTTGAGACATTTCCTCTTTGCTGTGTTACAGGGTGATATTATCTCTTGTGCTGGATCTTACCTGTATCTCTGGACAGTCAATGGCCATCTTCTTGCAAGCATCAACACAGCCTGCAGCCCTACCTGCCGTACTGTTTGCTGCTGCTTTGCTGAAGTGATGGACTGGGACATAAGCAGCATCATCATCACAGGAAGCACAGATGGAGTGGTGAGGGTAGGTGGATGGAAGCAAGGAAGAGGGAATTCTGATTCATATCGTAGACCAGAGGCAGAGTTCTGAACTGTAAATGGAGGGACGGAGCTGCTAAAAAACCCATGTCACTTTCTTGACAGGGCAGAAAATGAAATCGGGGTAAAATACTTGCTTCCTATCAACTTTTATTCTCCTGAATGGAGGAGTCTTTACCGTTCAGGGATATTTTTGAAAATGTGCTTTCAATTCTGGAGTCGTTCTGAAAGGAAAAATTCTATCACCCATTGGAAATACGTTGAAGTCTGGTTTCTGAGAGTTGATTCACAGCTCTGTTTATTAAGTCATACTTTCTCGTGAGTTCTGGTGGTTCTGCCTCTAGTCTGGTAGGAGAGCTTCCTGGGTTACTAGGATCCTCAGCAGCATGTCAGCCTTGCAACCTCATCAGCTCCCTGCATACATTTCTCCAGTGTGACGCTCTGCAGCACAGTGGCAGAGAAACACAACTGCAAAATTGTGTTCTGGTGTCAGAAGCCAAATTTCCACCCCTTGCTGGGAAGTGTAATCAAAGCAGGAGCTGCATCTCTCTCTCATTGTTATAATTCATGCTTTTTTCATTTTTACCTCCTCACTGGCACAGCTGTGGAAGGCTGAATACACCAATAACCCAGACCAAGCTGCTGGAGTCAGACCACAGAAAGGTGTGATGGAAGAGCCAGGCAGCACAGGTATGAGCACAGGGTGGGCTGTGAACTGCAGTGTGACTGTGTGCTGCAAACCTTGTTTGGTTGTGAGGAAGAAGAGGGTCTGTGAGCCCAGTGGTGTGAAGGGAAGGTGATGTGGTGCAGCGTTACAATAACCAGCAGCAGCAGGGGTGGGTAGCAATTGCCCTACATTAGAGAGCATTCCTGAGTCAACCATCTCATGGAGACATCCTGCCTGGATGAAGCTGAAAGCTTCTTCATAGGCTCTGTCATGGGTTCTATCAACCTTGGTAGACCACCTCTCTGCATAAACCTGTGAAGCCCATTCCCTTGGCACCTCTGCTGATGGCTTGTGATGAAGTATCCTGGCATAATGTCAAAGTGGGCAGCGCCAGATCCTGCTCTGGGCTGGAACAGGGAAGTTTGTTGTCTTTGCTACCTTAAAAGTGGTCAGAGGTCCATCAAATTGGTGGGAGGCCAGAAGCAGGCACTAGTGCTTAGAGCTGCTTATTCAAGGCTATGTGAAGCTGAAGTTGAAAGCCCGGAGTTCTTGCAGAGCTGAGGTTAAAAAGACCATGGCTCTACAGTGCCAACTGGTACTAAAAACAGCTCAAGCTCACTTCTCTGTTTTGACAAATACAAGAGCTGAAACCTGCCAGGAAGCTTTAAAGGCACATCCTAAATAGCACAGCTTTCTTCTTTTCCCAGTGCTTTTTATAAGAGAAAGGAATTGTGGTGTTAGTATGTATAATTTACACCACTTATTTGCTGTGCTCCTCATTACAAACATTCTCTATTACTTCAATTTTAGGCATGCAATTTGCATAAATATAGAGCTATAGATGTAACATCTGCAAAAAAGAAAAAAAAGATATTATACAGTAATTGGGCATTACCACTGAGATCTTCAGAAATGCTGTTCATGGAACTTGGCAAGAACATTACTTAGATTGCTATGTGAAAATATTTCCAATATGCTTCTGTATATATAACTGCCAAACCAGATGCCTATCCAACCTTTTGTCATGTCTCAGAGTAGCCAGAGCCTGATGCTTCTAGGGAAGGTGCAAGAACACCCAAGATGCCAGATGTGAGATAGTCTGGCTATGGTATCTTCATATTTGATTTCGTTGTCATCTCTAATCAAAGATTGCTGTAAGTCAAAGCAAAAGATTTAACATTCTTTCCAAAATTGCTGTAGTGTTCTGTAGTCATTGTGTGGATTCTTTTTACATGTAGAAAAGTCTAATTTGTTTTAAGAATTTCCTGAGATCTTGTCCATAACTTCCCATGGTAAGTCTTTCCAGGTTCTATTTACTCAGGTACAATTGCATACACGTCTTTGAACAGCTTGAGATTTTAGCTATTCATAAGATGTATATCTTAAATAATTTTCTAAATAAGGACATAAAAGCTGTCAATGGGAGCACAACAGAACACTCTTGTTTGTGCCTTTTTCAAGGAGGATCATAGAAGACATGTGCTGACCCCAGTCACCTGTTGAAGTGTAGACACACACACCTGTTTGCACATGAACATAGGAGTGCATGTTTTCAGATGCATAGAGGAACAGCATTCTTTAATAAAGAGTTGAGAAGTGTAATCAAAGCAGTGTCGTACTCAACCTATTCAGATGATTTCAGAGTTATTTTAAATGACCAAATATTCCCACATCTCCTTCTGTACACTAAAGAAAATGAAATTAATACAAAACATAGTCATTAAAAAGACCGAAGTAACTGTGATTGAGTTATGTTGTTAGCTGTGTGTGTATGTATATATGTGTATGTGAAATGTTCACAGCATTTAATTATTGGTTCTGTTATGAGCAGATTTAGATAAGTTGATAATACCAGGGCTTTATGTAATTTCTTTTTACTAGGCAATTATGGGCTGTATTATATCCTGGCAGCAAGGTATTGTGGGGCATCTTATTAAGCATAGAGCCAGTGAAAACTGATGAACAATTTTGCTGAACTAGGCATGCAATTTAGAAAGCAATAATACACAAATCCAATTTAGCACACAATTGATACAGCCGCACGTCAGCACATGTAACTATCATAGCCACAAATTAAATTGGGATGGGCCTATTTTGCAACAGCACAGGCCAAGATTAAATATATTTGTTCTCAACTTAACAACTTGCTGACCGTAAATAATAACAATCCCATCCCTGCAGCCCCCAGACACTTTCTAAATATTTATTTTTAAACCGACAGGTAACAAGTGTGGAAAACATCTTGTTCTCTGTCGGGAACTGAATCCCAGCCTTGCCCTGACCGGCAAAGCGGGTCGGACGAGCGCGGCGGTGACGGCGCTCGCCGTGTCCAGGTACGGGCCGGGCGCTGCAGGCGGGCGGTGCTTCCCCCACGGAGGGGCCCGGGATGGGCTGGGCCGGGCTCAGCTGGGCGGGGCTGGGCTGGGCTGGGCTGGGCATGGGGACTGGGGTCCCTCTCTTGGTTCGGTTTGGGACAACTCAGGAGAAATAGCAGGTTTGGGCCAGAATAACTGTAGAGCTCAGCAGCTGCTACACCGTCTCTGAAACACAGAGATAACTCCTGTCCTAGGAGTTACTGGAGATACTATCTCCTTAAAATGTAAGCAGGAAGCTTTTGGCCAAAGGACAGCTTTGTTGTTCAACTTCCCTCGGTTTGCACACCCAGCAGTATTTTAGTATTTTAGTTTACTCGATCGCCCTCCTGCACTTTCATCTGGCTGCAATATTTGTTGTTGTCTCCTTCTCCAGGATGTTACAATGTACTGTAAAACAGTTCCTGCCTTTTTCTCCAAAAGTGTTGGCATTTTGATATTGACTAAAATGTTCCGATGTCCTGCATACTCACCTTTAGAGCACATAATGTGATGTTTATATGCTTTGAAAGTGGGAAAGTTTGGGGAGAAGGTTGGTTTCATTAGTGTTAGTGGCACTGCCTGCAACAGAGATTTCAGTGGCTGAAGCCATGACATTATGTGCTAACAAGATTCAGAATTCTGAATCTGGGCAGCAGATTATTTAACATCCATAGTGTAAGAGTTTCTGATCTAGCTGGAGTGTCCACAACTAACTCACGGAACTCCAGAAAAGTTTGGACCCAGTTCTAAGCTCAGTCTTTGAAGTACCAATCTTTGTCTATTCTATGTCATTGTTCTTCCAATTTAATATTCCCCTGAATATTACATCCTCCTAATTGCTGCACATGCAGGAAACAGCCTTGATCCTATTTATGTCTTGTTCTTAAACATGGTTTTCTTTTTTCTTTTTTTCTTTCTTTCTTTCTTCCTTTCTTTCTTTCTCAAGAAATTCCTCCAAGCTCCTAGTTGGTGATGACTGGGGAAGAGTCTGCTGCTGGTCTGTGGATGGGTAGGAAGAAATAGCCAAGATCTCCTGTTTTTTCAACCTTTGGATGGAGAGAAAAATTACCCTTCGGAGCATGAAAGAATCAGAGAAACTGGAAGCCTGTGGTTGGGGACTGAATCTCAAAGGAGTTATGGGACTGACCTTGCAGTCAAGTTTGATTTAAATTAGACAATGGACTCCAAAGTTGTGAGAGACACTGACAGACGTGCACATAGACAATTAGATTTTATAGTATTTTTCTGGGGAAAACTTTTGTATTTTAAATGTTATTTTCGTTATTAAATTTTACATAATACGTTGGATTTCACAAATATTAGCTAGCAAATAAAACTGCCTTGATTATGCCAAAGAGCAGTGTAGCTTAATAAAATGAACATGTTCTATTTTTAATATCATGAGATAAAAAAATATTGAGGTTTCAAAGAGAGGTTAAGTGAGTTTGTTGCAGTATTTTCATTCTTATTAGTACGCAAGGATGTTAGTATCTCTATTCCTACACTTCCTTCTTCCTTGATTCTGTAAAAAAATGTATGCATACCTTCTGAAAAGCTATTTTTTTTTTGCAAAGTGAAGCTTGGAATTCTCAGGTTGACGCTGGTGCCTTTATCCAGCCCCAGTGTGAACAAGTGTTATGGTGCAATGTTTCCTAATTTCTGACTATTTTTTTATAGTGAGTAAGGCAGGCAAAATGTATGGAATGGGTGAAGATGAAGATCTGATACAACTGGTCATATTCTTTTATTTTCCTCCTTCCCTTCCCTCTTTCCTACCCTTGTCCCTGTACTATCTGGANATACTTCAGGATTTACGTTCACAATCATCCTTCATGGTAGAAGTGAGTATTTGTAGTGTAAGGAGCCTGAGACTATAGGGTAATAGATTTAAGTGCCATTTGTGTACCTAGTGGAAATGGAAAAACTGTGAAAAATTAAATTGGGATGTGCCTGTTTTGCAACAGCACAGGCCAAGATTAAATACATTTGTTCTCAACAAGTTGCTGACCGTAAATAATAACAATCCCATCCCTGTTGCCCCCCAGACACTTCCTAAATATTTATTTTTAAACCGCACAACAGGTAACAAGTGTGGAAAACATCTTGTTTCTCTGTCGGGAACTGAATCCCAGCCTTGCCCTGACTGGCAAAGGGGGTCAGACGAGCCCAGCGGTGTCCAGGTACGGGCCGGGCGCTGCAGGCAGGGGGCGCTTAACATTTTAGGATAATTTGAAGGAGCTAAATTGATAACTCCCTCTCCCCAGTGGTCCTCCTTGACCTGGTAAGGAAATTGAGTATCTTATCTTACATACAGAAGGGCGAATAGCCACTTGGGCAGAGCAGCTTTCTGAGCACCACAGACTGGATCAGGGCAGTGCCAGGAAGAACACAAAGGACATTATGGCCATTAAGACCCTTTCGTTCATGCTGCTAAACACACCCTTGAACAGACAGATCCAGGAGACTTCCCTGATTTCCAGTGCACTGGGACTGTTCAGCACTGCAGTAGTGATGCCCCATGGGTGCTGTACTGGAAAGATGCTTGATAGCCCTGAGGAACATGAGGAACATGAGATTTGTCAGCATCATTAGGAAGGATCTGGAGTAGAAGACAGGTTTTTACCAGTCTTCCTTTAACTACACGATCAACTTTCTTCTTCTTGTAGGACACTGCTTTGCTAATAACTCCTTTGAATTACATTGCTGAATGAGCAAATCTTCCTATGGCAAACAGCCTCCTTCCCTACAGAATGCTGAGACATGTCCCCAGCCCACCCCACACCTCTAACCTCTGTAGTGAGTGAGGTAATTGCTTGTGGAAAACAAGCAATAGTAATTAGAGGCCAGCTCATGATGCATTATGTCTACACAGATGACCTGCCTGGTTATACGTTCTAACCTCCAAGTGCATGACTTGATGAGTCAAATACTAATCTTTCTGTGCTCAGGGGAACATACACTGAAAAGAGGCCAAAATACACCAATGTTTGGTAATCAAAGTAACCCTGTGGAGCAAATGTGCCTGTCTTTTCCTGAGGAATGGGGAAAGGTCAATTGTCAACAAAAGTATACTCTGCTTTCCTCTTCCCTCTGCACATTCCTTAAAAATAAGCTGTGATTTGGATACATGGACAGCAAGACTTGGACTCCTGTCCACTGAATACGACTTTACTGAACCACGATAAAGGTGATTAAGAGCTGTGAAAGTAGGTCACTACCTGTGTTTTCATTTATCTAGTAGTCATCTTCAATAGCTTGCTAATTATCTCCTCCTTTAGCCTTTTCATGTAACCTGTCTTTGCCAATAGCAGATGCTCCCTTTTCTAGAGCTGGCACTGGCACCCAGCAGCCTGGGCAGCTGCACTAATGGCTCCGATACTCTAGGCATCAACATGGCTTTGGTGTAAGAAGAGGCCAGCTGTAGGCTGGCTGTGCATGGATTTGACAGGCTCAGCTCCTTGTGCCTAACATCAATTTTCTTAAATCTTCAAGAGTTGCATCAGCAACTTCAGCCTTGAATCACAGAGAACAGATCTGGAGTGTGCATGTCTGAATGGAAGTCAGCAGGTTAAGAGTAAATGTGTTCCTGAGTCAAGCTTGTTCTCATCTTTAGGGAGTTGTAATTTGGGAGAACATAAAAGGCCAATTAATAGAAGTGGTTTGCAATTTCATCCTGGTAAAAAATTTGATTAGGAAAGATTTGCTGGACAACAGTGTTTGGTTGAGAAAGTTTTGGTTTCTTCTCTAGTTCTAGAGGATTTTTTTCCCTGGTGTCATAAGTCACGGAAAGAAATGCATCCTGTAAGTACCAAAAGCACTGCTCCTTGTTTACAGAGTTAAGGCACAAATGTAAAAATGCTGCAGTCCTCAGATTACGCAGGCCTGATACACCCAGTGTGTGCGACAGTGGTAGAGTGCTACCTGGTCATTTTTTCTGCAGGTAAGTCTCTGGGACATGAAGGTTTTGCTCAAAATTTGTAATATGTGGTTGAATGATCAGCTGAAATTAACCCTCTTATAAATATCTACTTCTATGTTTTGGTCTGCTACGTTTTTGGTAAATGATGAATGTCCATGAAAATGTCCAGGAGATTCCATTGGCTCTGGATGTGGAGGTAGCTTTCACTGACACATAGACAAGATTTGGTGCTAGTTCAGGGGCAGTAGTGGTGCCTACCTAGTGAATATCCTGATGTGATACACACATAGGATGTAGGGATAGCAGATCTAGAATATGCTTGAAAAATTAAAAAAGTAGAGCAGTTCTACAGCAAATACTTTTAGCATAACTCCATTGTTACTGTAAGTGGAACAGCGTGAACATCAATGGAGTATTGTAATTATCTCAGAACCAACTTTTGCAAGGGGTAAGTAGCTCAGGGTGAGAACTACCCTTAAAAAAAATCCAATCCTATTAGGATAAGAAAAGCGGAAATAAGGCACAGTTTTAACTTTGCCCTGTAGGGAAACCAAGAAGAGAAACATGGAACAGCACAACCTTTATGTGACTTTTAAAATCAGTTTAATCAAGTACCATAAGCCCTAGAATGCCTTAATTACACTTATTTGGTTATTGCACAGACTATCTTGCTTCCTTGTTCAGCAACAGAAGTCTTATAAATGTTACAGTGAGCATTAAGTGGTGTCTGATCTGTGGCATTCTCCTGGCTAGTAAACGCTAGTGAAGCTATATTTGCAGAGCTGCCAGTGCACTGCAGGGCCTTTGCATCCTCATAAAAAAGAATTTAAAGATTTTTTGAGAAATCTGTGCAAAGCAATCTGTAATTCCCACTGGAAAATTTTCCCTGTGATTCTCACCATGTGCTACTGTTACCAAGTCCTTTTTATACAGTATTCTCAAAATTTATTACAAGAGGATATTGGTAAGAAGATCATGTCATTCGTGATTGCCTATGCCTGTCACAAGGGAAGTTACCTGAGAGCCATGTAAGCTAAAATAATTTGCAAGAATATGCTCCCTTCTGCATGAAAATGCAACCTATTGTGCTTTTCTCTCATCTTTCAGGAGGGACATCCCAAGGAAGTTGAAAAAGAAGCCCAGGAAAGCTCTGGACCTGATCTCAGCTCTCTTGTCTCCTCCTACTTGGTACTAAGCACCTCCAAGCCAGGTAGCTGAAGTGATTTATTTCCTTATGGTCACACATATCACTCTGGGATCAGTTGTTGCATTGCTGGTGTCACTGTTCAGACATGTGCATGGCACTTACTGTCATTGAAGTCATCCAGGCTGATGGGGGAGTGTGAGAGAGTACAGGGCTGGTGGAGGACTGCCAACCCTCCCTATATTTTTTGCCTTATAGACATGTTGTCATCAGAGCTCTTCCCCAGTGTCAGGATGCTCATGCAAATTCACCACTTGAAGTTTTTGAAGGGGCTTGCTGTCATTGCCTGCACTAGAGTTGAGTGTCTTATGGTTAAATGTCTTAAATATCTGGTAACCAGAACCAGGCAGCCTTCAGCAGTACATCAGAATATTAGTGACCATGAATAATACTTGCTGTAATGAGTACTGAGCAAATGTAGTCCTCCTGATGGGGACAGCAGTGCCTCTGTTCAGTGATCACTCAATGTGTTTCATAATCAAGTGTTGTAACCCCATGCATGTGGAGGCTGTTGGTGCAGGGCAGTCACTGGGGGAGCAGTGGTGAGTGTGCTGGCTGAGTGGCTGGAGCTGAGGATGTCAGGTGAGTCCAGTGGTGGAAAGAACATCGTGAGATCTTACTGATGGGGGAGAAGTTGTCCCTGGGGATGACTGCAACAACAGTATAGGAACTTCCCCTATTGTCTCCTTGTTCAGTTTGGACAGGAGGCTCTCAGGACTTTGCTTCTCCCTTATACATCTGTTCCCTGGCCAGGAGGGACAACAAAAACTCATGCTCCCATATCTAATCCAGTTTTGGTGGGATGCTCACTCTTCTATGGAGAGTAAGCCACAGGAATGAACGCTGAGAATGCTCTTTGGCCACTCCTGTGTTCAGTCCATTCCCTACCATCTCCTGGCTGTGGCAGTCTCCAGTGGAGAAGTGGTAGCAAGTTACATCTCCTCTGCCAGTGTCTGTGTCTTTATACTCCTTATTTTACTGTCTCTGCTGGACTAACCAAAATAAAATGCAGTTAAGGTGCAGTCATTTAAGTTCCCACCTTTGACTGTCACAGTTGCAGATAACAGATCTGGTAAGCAAGCAAAAAGGCATATCTTTATGTGACAGTGGGACCATGAATGTTGTAAATAAGGAATTCCAGTAGTGTTATTGAAATAAGTAGAGTTCCTGACAGACTATGAGATTACTTGTTTGGGAAGGTGAAATCCTGATTTCCTTCAAAGCCTTCGTCTGCCTGGCAGGCTGGCTTCTGCCTACAGCTTGGCATTTGTTGATTTTAGTTGTGTAAGGACTCATTTGCCACCTTGCTGGGTGTAGCAGCCTGTGGTGTTCCTGTTGCAAGCTCTGGGCAGCTCTTGGCTCTTCAGAG